AGATAGCACAGATAGAGACTGTAACAGATAGCACAGATAGAGACTGTAACAGATAGCACAGATAGAGACTGTAACAGATAGCACAGAGAGAAACTGTAACAGATAGCACAGAGAGAAACTGTAACAGATAGCACAGAGAGAAACTGTAACAGATAGCACAGAGAGAAACTGTAACAGATAGCACAGAGAAACTGTAAGAGAGAACACAGAGAAACTGTAAGAGAGAACACAGAGAGAAACTAAGAGAGAACATAGAGGGAAAACGTAACCGATAGCACAGAGAGAAACTGTAACAGACAACGCAGAGAGAAACTGTAACAACCAACGCAGAGAGAAACTGTAACAGACAACGCAGAGAGAAACTGTAATTGATAGTACAGAGAGAAACTAATTGATAGTACAGAGTGAAACTGTAAGAGAGAACGCAGAGATAAACTGTAAGAGAGAACGCAGAGATAAACTGTAAGAGAGAACGCAGAGATAAACTGTAAGAGAGAACGCAGAGATAAACTGTAAGAGAGAGAACGCAGAGATAAACTGTAAGAGAGAGAACGCAGAGAGAAACTGCATGAGAGAACGCAGAGAGAAACTGCAAGAGAGAACGCAGAGAGAAACCGTAACAGACAACGCAGAGAGAAACCGTAACAGACAACGCAGAGAGAAACCGTAACAGACAACGCAGAGAGAAACCGTAACAGACAACGCAGAGAGAAACCGTAACTGATAGTACAGAGATAAACTGTAAGAGAGAACACAGAGATAAACTGTAACAGATAGCACAGAGAAAAAATGTAACAGACAGCACAGAGAGAAACCGTAAGAGAGAACACTGTCTGAGTTACAAGTTTGTGTAGAGTGGTATAATTTTTGTATTGATCATTGTTTTGTAACTTTCACAAGACAGGGTTTCAAAGAATGTCTGTTCGGTTTAACCGGAACACTTGAGAGTTTTATCAATAAAAGGTATACATTGCCATGTTTATTGATGTTGATTAACGAACTAGACAAATGTGATATATTACTTCTTTGATGATGATGTTTTTTATCGTATTACGAGCCGACGAAAATGTATAGTTTTATGTTGATGTTGTTTTTGGACTTATAATAATGTATTGCTACACTGCAAACGTTCTGTAGATGGTTAAAGAGATATTATTGAAATGTTTGTTAGTAAATATCCTAATAACGGCTGAGAATAAGTTTTCAGCTAGATCAGTTCTTATTAGCCCAGCTGAACCAATTATACAGCCCCCAGTGGCACGGCGGTATATCTGTGGACTTATAATGCTAAAAACCGGGTTTTGATAGCAGTGGTTGGCATAGCACAGATAGCCTGTTGTGTTGCTTTATGCTTAACTACAAACGAATAAACAAAACCAAGGATACAAAATATTATCCATAGAGCTTTGTATTGTTTAACTTTAGCTTGATACAGATTTTGTTCGTATGCAACTTTCTGTTACACCAAATGACCTTTTTAGGTTCTCTGGATTGTCGGCTAAGTCTACCATTCAGATCTGTGTCTACAGTGGAGTTGCTTATCAGAAAGTCCAAGGTTTTGCCCACGAGATGCCGCTGAACCCCTTTTCAACTGTAGGGGTGTTTTAAATGTGACATTAAACTTCGTTATTAGGTTATGAACTGCAGCATAGTCAGTAGGCGCTTACTTGATAGTTTTCTTGGATCAGCAATTTTAAATTAGAAATGAATAAATTATCGTTATTTACGTCGTAGCGGTTTGTAATTGTAACAAGAGACATAGTTGTTTGTACTAAATGACAACTTCCTTACCATAATCAACCAGAAGAAATGTAGTTTCGATAATTGTCGGTCTTCGTTAGTCGCTAGTTCAGTGATGCAAAATACTTTCTAACAGATGGTTTTAAAGTCTTGCATCTGAAAACCCAAGTGATACATCTTGTTGGAAACATTCTAAACAGCCTCGAACACGAAGAGTTTGGCGTAGTTATATTGAAAGTGACAGTAACAAATATCATTGTATGATGTAATTAGAAGTGATTAATATATTTGTAGATGTCCTGGAGCTTACACTTGTATGTTTAAAGATCTACGTAATTAAACTTTTAAACACTGATGATGCGTTTTGAAGTATCAGAGTTAAATGTAGTACACCCGTAAACTAGCTCTGCATCACACTTGTTCCATTGGGGCATCTTTGTACAAGATGGTAGCAAAAGGTTAAAGTAGAAGATCCACAGTTTTAATTCCCATAGGTTTGTAGTTTCATGTAATCACTGTTGACAGGAGGTTAATAAATAACCTAACCCAGGAATATCATTTATAATGTTAACTAGTGGAAAAACTCTTTATTCGTGTGCGAAGCATTTTTTTTTTTTTTTGGATGTCGTATTTTCTATTTGAATGTACAAAGTCTATAAACTATAAAGGCAGTGGTGTATTTAAATTACTTATAACAATTAAGTGGTACGCTTAGACTACTCGCGTATGAAGTTAGGTACGTGGAGTTCTGAACAAGTCTGGTGGCCGTGCGAGGCGTCTCATTGACTGTGAGGTTAAACCTATTCCACAACACATGATACCCACCAAACACCTTTAGTACAAAAGAGACTTTGAGCCTAATGGTTTTATCAAAAAATGATAAACCGATCGATCGACTTATTTAGTAAGAGACACAAGATCTGGCGACTTTTTCAAAACATAGGTATCGGGACAAATATTAAAACTGAGTGATACTGCTCCTAAGTACCGGAACTTTAAATGTCTTAACACGTAAATACTGCTGTCTGATATGGGGGTTCTGAGGGATGACAGATTCATTCCCCAAACATCTTTACCTTTGCAATGCACACAGTAGTATCTAAACCAATTCTTTCCTTAGGCACATATGATTACATCGTCCGTAATCACCTACTTCTAATTTCATTTTTGCATAGTTTAATGAAGTTTAAAAACATTCCTACACATGCATACACGTTTTTCCAACAATTTATGCTGGGTTCAAAGTCTATGACTATGAAAAATTCCTAACTCCAAATATAAATTATTCGTTGAGCATTTTTGTGTTGTGCCTTTTACTAAAAAGGAGTAACTGATAAAATATTTATTTATCAGATTATTACAGAGATACTCGTACAACAAAGTAATGAAAATGTACTTACATCATGGATAAATGTATTTATAGGTCAGGTACGTGTTAGACCTATAGATAGATACATTTGTCCATGGTGTAAAGTAAGCTAACACGTACTTGTAACTAACACGTACTTGACCTATAGATACATTTGTCCATGGTCACCATGGACAAATGTATCTATCTATAGGTCAAGTACGTGTTAGCTTACATAAATACATTTGTCCATGGTCTATAGGTCAAGCACGTGTAAGTTTACATCATGGACAAATGTATCTATTTAGAGGTCAAGCACGTGTTAGTTTACACCATGGACAAATGTATCTATAGGTCAAGTATGTGTTAGCTTACACCATGGACAAATGTATCTATCTATAGGTCAAGTACGTGTTAGCTTACACCATGGACAAATGTATTTATCTATAGGTCAAGCACGTGTTAGCTTACACCATGGACAAATGTATTTATCTATAGGTCAAGCACGTGTTAGTTTACACCATGGACAAATGTATCTATTTAGAGGTCAAGCACGTGTTAGTTGCTGTGGGTAGAATTAAAGTAGTTCGTATAAAAATAAATCTGAACTCTTTTTTTCGTACCTGAAAAATAACATGTATACATTATTAGGTCAATAGGGGCTAGAAGAACCCATTATTCAATGATAATTCACATAAATTATTTTATATGTTTTAACTTTAATATTAACTTTTGATTGTCACATAGGAAACGTCAAAAATCGTACTTTATTTTTTCAGAATTTTGAGCGGTTTTTTGGTGTGTAGTGAATACAAATTTCCCAGAAAATATGACAAAGTCTGATGGGAAGGTACATGTCAAAACAAAATGTGAGAAGGAAGGAAGGGAGGGATTTGTTGAAGCAACATGGGTACCTTATGTACCGAATATATACACGAAAACTTCTGATTAAACGTTTTACGAAATTTGCAGTTAACAAACTCCTCTGACGATTTTTATGTTAATTCTTACATGACTTGCATCTTTAGACTGGTATTTGTGTTGTACTGCCAAATAAACACAAACATAACTCTGCATGGATTGGGATTTTATTATTGAAGACTAATTAATTTAATTGTGTTATTAGAAAACATTCTAGCAAAAGTCATTTATGCGCGCGTTCGAAATTATCTAAAGGTCTTTATTAGAATCTCATAACTTAATTGTTCTGGCTAATGACATCTGTTGTAAACCCAAATTAACCAAATATTAATATTATGATCCATCGTATAAAACACCAGATGGCGTAGGATGACAGATAACCTAGGGATAGGATTATAATTTTAACCTTCCATAATTTATTTTTGTTACAAATAACTTTGGAAGTAAGGTATATAATGCTGTCTAAATCGTTTTTATTAACTAACTTAGGGATAGACTATATAATGGTAATCTTATCCAAGGACGTAATATGTAATATTAGTTTTTCTAGATCGATTTTGTTGGCCAACTTGAGGATAAAATAATTGATGTTAATTTTATCGAAATCGTTTTTGTTAGCCAATTTGAGGGTAGAATAAGTGATGCTGATTTTTATAAATCAGAACTTGAGAATAGAATAAGTGATGTTAATCCCAAATCTTTTTTTGTGTTTGTTAACTAATCTAGGGATAGAATATATAATGCCAGTCTTTTTTGTTTAATCGTTCTTATATCGTAAGCCTTTTTATATGGTAAGGTGAAAAAATGTGCAATGAGCTAAATGTTTGCTTGTAGTAAGGGTATTATTAATGCCCTTAGATTTAACATAGTTAAGTCTATTTTGTTGACCATCTTCAGTTCGTTTGTAAGGAACTTAGTATTTTTACTTCTTATTTCTACTGCTTTCATTATTTGGTGGTTTCAAGTTAACTTTACTGTGTTTTCGTTACAGGATTCATCTGTGGGCACACCGGTCACTGTGAGAGTGGACAAAAAAGGGTTCTTCCTTTTCTGGACTGACCAGAACAAGGTACTATCAGTGAAAATATCAGAATTATTGTAAAATCTTTTTTTATAGTTTACGATTCTGATCTTAACTTAAGGGATTGATCAGATTAATTTCATTGGATAAACAATATACATGTGATTTTATTTTTCATTTTTATAATTACAACTATTTCCAAGTTTGCTTGTTTGTTGTCGTGTGTGTGTGTGTGTGTGTGTGTGTGTGTGTGTATGGATGTGTGTGCGCGCATGTGCAATATATCCCTGAACAGTTTGGTTTACTAACCTAGGAATAATACACGTAATTTGAATGTAATTTACAGGAACATAAACTTTATACTACCCTTAAAAATTGAATACCATTGAGTATCAGTATCACTCACATCGAAATCTTTCTTTGTAACGCGACAGACGTTCCAGAATCGATAATCACGCCATCACAAGGAACGTCCCTTACACAGTTTGTCACGAGAAAGTTTTTTATTTTCCCTTCACAAGTTACTGTGTTTCAATTTAAAGATATCAATCCACAGCTCTTCCAACCGACAAGCACTTTGATTAAATCCGCGAAAACTATGACTCATTTATGCTTATTCAACCGACTGTTACTCTGTATAATTAATTATAAAAATGGCGATATATTATTTCTGTTCCTACCGATTAACCTTGACAATTGCTACAACTTTTCCACTGCAGTACATTATTATTAATTGACTGTTACAGTGTTTTATCGTACATTTTGATGACGGTTTTAAAATCGTAAACAATAAGAAAATAAAAAGCACCACAGCCAAATCCTATGAGGATGTGTGGGGTCTTATCGTGATTTTAGCTCTTAAAATATACTTCACTTGCGAAAGTTAATTACATATAATATTCATTTTTTATCCCTTTTTTTTTGGGTCGATATCAGATAAAAAAATAAATTCATCCGTGAGATACAAAAATGTGATTTAACTGCCGGGTGTATAACCGGAACGATCTCATTCCAGTTATTCACTCAACCCGTGACGTAAACTTCAGAGTTCAACAGGGAAGTCACTCTAGCGTTTACAAAGGAAATGTAGATGTCGCTTTACAAAGGAGAGAGAGAGATTTATCACACACATTACAAAACAGACAAGTAGATTTAACATCCAGATTACGAACTAGATAAATAGACACATTTAAATGCATTCAGCATTAAGTTACAAAATCGATGATATGGTACAAAACATGTAGGAACAGATAGATAGGTAAATATTACACATTATTGTACAGGTATATCGACAGAGAAACCTAAATTTAACTCGTGAAACATAAGCACAAGCGTTTTCACACATCTTCATAAAATTTTCAAAGTTAGATAAATGTGAAAGCATCAGGTAGATAACTACAAGTAAATAGATAGGTTTCACACACAAGATAGATTTGGATAGATAATTAAACAGTAAAGTATATTTCACGCATCTAATTACACGTGGATAAACAAGTTATGTAGATTAAGATAGGTTTCACATTTCTAGATACGCATGGATAGACTAGATAGTTAAATTGATAGAGATAAGTTTCACACGTCTAATTTAAACACATGGATAGATAAATAGGTTTCACACATTTTAACTCCACGAGGATGGACAAAGTAGGTAAATAGATAAAGGTAATTTTCGTACATCTGAATACGTGTGGGTGGACAAGAGAGATAAGCTTCACAAATCGGGAGAGAGAGGAGGATGGCAAAAAAGTTAAGCACCCCCGTGTTTTTTTCAAGTGATTCAGATTCGACGTTCTT